TTTCTCCCACCCAAGGGAAAATTAGGTTCCCTCCAATTTTGGGGGAATTTGGAGGGGAAGTTAAATCTTACAAGTTTTTGTACTAATATGTCCTTCTCAATTCATTATAATCACATAATATGCCCCTCCAATTTTATGTCTTGTACATATAATATTATATAATAAATAAAGGTATCTTTGTTCATGTAATTTTATTTTCCCTCCCCCATCATCTTCTAACCAAACAAGGTTAATCATTTCCATTCACCTCCCCTCTTACAAAATTCCTCCAAACAAGGTAAAATTACTTTCCCTCCATTCCCCTCCCCTCCCCTCCCCTCCCTTCCATTAAATTCCCTCCCCTCCCCTCCCCTCCTTTGAACCAAACATATTTATTTCCTCAAGTTTATCTCTCCCCCACCGCTTAACATTTCGCACTTTTTGAGATTTTCGATCATGAGCGATTTGTTTGATTTTTTTTATTTTTTTAATTTGTTTTAATTTTCAGCGATATTTAACAGATCTATAATCGATTGTCAGTATATTACTAATCGAAAAATACATATTGTATATGTTTATGCGACGGAATCCGAATTTAGCTTTGTCAGGTTTTTTCGATTTATATTTTTTTTCAAGAATTTTTTAACCATCTGAGCTCTTGTTTGAAAAATCAATATACAATCGGGATTGACTATTACATGGTGAGTAGGTAAGACAAAAGGAATTCGAAATATTTTTTAACAGTCTGAGTTATTTGATTATTTGATTTTAATTATGAATTACATATGCATAGCTGTTTTGGGATGATTGTTGTTCAATATATGGAACCCGATCTGTCGTTTTGCATGTACCGTAAGTAGATTAAATGAAATCTGAATGCTTATTCACATAATGTGAATGGAAAGTCCGATTCCCAAAAATTATAAACAGAAATTATATTATCAGCTACGATTCAGAGAATATTTGTTCATTTATGGTTTTTTTTTCATTTTTTATTAGTCAGTTTATAATTTTTACGAATTTAATTAAAAAAAATAGAACAAGAAAATAGATTAATTGATAGGGTTGCGTTACAATCTTAAAGTGTTTGGTTCAAATAATCAAAAACCAGAATTGTATAGTGGATATCAAATAAACATCTTTAAGTATAACTTGTATATAGGAACTGTGTTATATATGTAAATGTTGTAATTTGAGTTGTATTACATATTACTGGGTCTCTGATTTTTCAATTTTTGGGTGGTTATTGTATTTTCTGTTATGGGACTCGAAAATTTTTAACTATAATCATGGGTAGAATAATGATTGTCTCTATGTGTTCTAGTGATGTCCAGTTTAAGTGTTTGTTAAATATCATATCATCATATATTACTGATATCAAACATATAATTCAAAATGTATGAGGCGGAGTCAAAATATTCATCTACTGATTCTGGAGATAAAGATATATCACATATTGGAGCAGATTTACACAGGCAAGTTCTTAGTCAACATTTCTCTTCGTTCTACAATTTTATCAAGTAGGTAACATATAGTATACTGGTACTAACCACTCTGCCTTTTAAATTTGAGGTTTTTGGACTGGAGCAACAGAAGAAAAAGAGAGAACAACAACCAGCCGGAGTGAAGAAAAGTAACACGAATAACAGGTAAGTTTATACATTTGATGTATATATTTAAGCTTTCAAACATTATTTTACGAACATAACAGAGTTATTAATCATGTATTGATATTAATAAACTATGTACTTAACTTCATTCATTTTTTTTTTTTGTGTACATACATGAGGATGACGAGACCAAATGAGAATGACCTAAAAGTTCACAGATTCACTCCAAACTGAAAAGGAGACAAAAGGTAAAAATAAAAATACATCTTCTTCACTAATTTTTTCTATTCAAATGAAAATTTTCATACAAACAGATAGTAAAACATAGATTTTAAGTAGGCTGGCTCAAAGGAAGGGTGGTTAAGTGATGGCAACATAAAAGGCGCTCTTGAATTTCATTTTGTAGTTGCCCCATTTCGGCAGCAATTGCAGAAAGTCTGATTGCAGCATACATAGCCATACGTGTTAGTACTCAATTTCTTTCAGAGCTTCCTGGAGCTCTCTTCCCTATAAGAATACGTCCCAGACACTGAGTTTAGCAGGTATCCCCTTTTTCATACTGCAAAATAAAAGTAAACAAATAAAACTGGGAATAAAGATTACTTGGATTGGAATTTTCATCCTCTTGCATGTTGGTTTGTGTAGTTTGCCAACTTGTGTAAAATTTATCAGTTGCTCTCATCTTATATGTGTTGCTGCTATCGCTTTCATTAAACTTGGTCACATGCTCTGATGGATTATTGATTGAAGTTGCTTTCTTCTTCATTCAGAATGTTCTTGTCTCTCAGCTTGTTGCAATTGAAAACAAAATCATAAGCTTTGTAAGAAAATTTTAATTTTAAATATGATGAAAACATTGAAAAAATAGAAAAAAGCTTACAACTTGGGTGCAGAATAGAGTATGTTCTGAGACTCAAGAACGCAATATTCTTCTATATATATTATAACATGATAACTATATTAAAGATATGCTTTGATTTGGATCAGCTTTAAAGAGTTTGAAGAAAGGTGATGACGACGAGGCCGCTTTAACGTATCTAGACAAGTTCGACCGACTCAAGATTTAGTATTATTATTTCCATCATCTTTTGTTATTTTGTTTCCTTTTGATATTTATTTGATGTCCTTAATTATCATGCCTAGTTTAGGAAATAAATAATCCTCTTGCACTTGTTAAGCAAGAGTAGGACTCTTTCTCTATTTATATGAAGAGGATGATGAGATGTGATTCATTCGACGTTGAAATAAAAATTCTTGTTCTTCCTGAAGAGAGAGTATCTCTTATTTACAAGTCTTGACAGAGTATCTCAAGCATCCCAAGCACACGTTCTACATCAGTTGGTATCCAGAGACCAGCTATCGATCCACGATGCTGCCTAAGAAGGATAACGCCACGGATGAGAGAATTCAACGACTGGAAGAACGATCCCAGGGAATGGATGATCGTCACGCGGATCTTTCTGCCGGCATGGAGGAGATATGGTCGACGATGCAAACTATG